TTTAAAAAAAAGTTTTAACTGCAGATGCCCCTCCCTAATGTGATCCTGTGTACCAAATAACAGTCTTGTATCTTATTGCGGAGCTTAGTTATGGCAAGTTATTTGTTTTTGATTAATGGCGTTTTGTGGGCGTGGCAGTGGTCCGATTACGCCCATCTGCAATACCAACCGTCTCACGGTACCAAGAAACATGTCTACCAAGTTTTATAAAGATATCTCAATTTTTACTCAAGTTAGAGCTTGCACGGACGGACGGACGGACAGACAGTCACCCGGATTTCAACTCGTCTCTTCATCCTGATCATTTATATATATATAACCCTATATCTAACTAGATTAGTTTTAGGTGATACAAACAACCGTTAGGTGAACAAAACTATTATACTATGTAGCAACAGGTTGCGAGAGTATAAAAAAAATATGAATACTCACTGACCGACATATTCGGCATAAAACTGGTTAGAATAACGAAAAGAATTATAAGTAGTATATGGAATTTGAGGGTAGTATTAACCCGATTTTATTAATTTTTTCCAATACCACATACTACTAACATGCCACAGACTAATAAAATGCTCCCACTGTTTCATTAGGGTACCTCACATACCATCACCAATCAAATGAAGTAAAGTCAGACGAATGTTCGAAAATCCTGAAATTAGTTACATGGGGGCTAAGGAAAATTTTCACCCGATTATGAGTAAAACACGCTCTCTCATTTTCATTGAGATAACTCACATATGCGGTATAAAGTCACGCGAAAGTTCAAAAATATTTATATTAGATATATAAGGGCTACAAGAGTTATTGATCCGATTCAACCCATTTTTGAAACAAAGACATACTATTATCGATAGTTTCATTTATTTATTCTATTATATGAATTTCAATTATATATCTTACACAATGGCAGATATTTACGGTAAAAAGTCAACTATAGGTACTGGGGTCTACATATTCAGTACCTAGGGGCTTAAACAGTTTTAGTTCGATTTAGAGAATTTTTGGTCACAAGGTGGCATACTTTAAACGTATTATTCACGCAAAGTTTTACGCCGATATAATCATTGTTGCTTGATTTGCATAGTGGAAAGTGAAAGAATCAAGGGGAATTTAAAATGGTGTCATATGGAAAATAGGCGTGGTTGTAATCCGATTTCGCCCGTTTTCGCACCATAATTTAGAAATATAAAAAGAATGTTATGTACCATATTTGGTCGAAATCGGTTAAAAAGATCCCAAGATATGGGTTTTCACCTAAAAGTGGGCGGTGTCACGCCCACTGTCTAATTTTGAACGCGGTTCCTACAAAGTCTTCTCATACTATCCCTGAGATAAAATTTAATGTCTCTGGCGTGTTTAGTGCTTGATTTATCGCGCTTTTAGTAGTTTTACAGTACCGTTACATGGGGAGTGGGCGGGGTTGTCACCCATTTTCACACCGTAGGTAGATGGGCTAAAAACATTTTCATCCAGTGAATTCTGTTATTATAGCTTTAGTAGTTTAAGAGATATGCCCAATAAACCTATTAGGGGCGGGACCACGCCCATTTTAACTTCAGATGCCCCTCCCTAATGTGATCTCGTGCACCAAATAACAGTCTTGTATCTTATTGCGGAGCTTAGTTATGACAATTTATTTGTTTTTGATTAATGGCGTTTTGTGGGCGTGGCAGTGGTCCGATTACGCCCATCTGCAATACCAACCGTCTTACTGTTCCAAGAAATATGTGTACCAAGTTTCATAAAGATATCTCAATTTCTACTCAAGTTACAGCTTGCACGGACGGACGGACAGACGGACGGACGGACAGACAGTCACCCGGATTTCAACTCGTCTCTTCATCCTGATCATTTATATATACATAACCCTATATCTAACTCGATTAGTTTTAGGTGATACAAACAACCGTTAGGTGAACAAAACTATTATACTATGTAGCAACATGTTGCGTGAGTATAAAAATGATGCTCACTGACCGACATATTCGTCATAAAACTTGTTCGAATAACGAAAATCATTATACGTAGTATATGGGAGTTCACTTTTCAACGGAAGCATACCATACGTCAACCAAATTGTGGCGGACTACCAAGCAGGATTTATAACTGAAAGAGGCACCACCGATCATATATTTATAATAAGACAATTTCTTGAGAAAACGCAGGAAAATAATATCACGACATTTCACTTGCCTATAGATTTCAAGGCGGCACACGATAGTATAAACAGGTCGCTTCTCTAAGAAGCCTCTTATATGTTTGGAATACCCAATAAATTAGTAAATCTTATTATAGCCACAATGGCGAACAAAAGAAACTCTATATCAAGCGAATTTGTATTGAAAAACGACCTACGACAAATGGATGAGCATTCATGCCTACTATTCAATCTTGCACTTGAAAAGGTGGTAAGGAGTAAGTACCAAAGGTACAATATTTTTCAAATCGACTCAAATTTTGGCTTACGCTGATGATATAGACGTTGTTGCAACATCTACAACCAATTGAAAAATTTCATTTATAAAAATAGAAAAAGCTGCAAGGATTTTGGGCCTTACAATAAACGTAGAAAAAACGAAAGTATTAATATCCTCAACGGCGAAATCAGTTCACCACAGTATTGGACAAAACTTAAGCTTTGGCGAGTATAACTTTGAGGTAGCTGCCGAGTTTAAGTACTTAGGAGTAAACTTTAACAATACGAACAATATGTCTGCAGAAATAAACCAAAGTATAATAGCCGCTAACAAATGCTATTTCACGTTAAGCAAACACCTAAAGCGTCGCATCCTTGATAACCTGGACGTTAACCTGTGAACGAAAGGCTTTGCGCAGAATTTTTGGAGCTATTTGCGATGATGGCTTATGAAAGATGCGGTATAACCACAATATACAGACCTTGTATAAGCACCCCGATATTGTAACAACAATTAAATTAAACAGGCGACGGTGGGCTGGTCATATTATTCGCGCCGACGAAAACTATCCTCCTAAACAAATTCTCCTGCGCAGATGCAGAAATAATAGGAGCAGAGGCACACCAAAGCTTTTATGAATTGAAGGTGTGGACCAGGACGTTGAAGCGCTGAAATTACAATGCTGACGAACCCAAGCAAGGGACAGAAATAACTGGAAAACTAAATTATAGCAAGCGAAGACCCGCATCGAGTTGTGGAGATAATGATGATGATTTATCACGATTTAAGTAGATTTTAACAGTACCATTATATGGGAAGTGGGCGGGTCAATTATTACTGAAGTTACAGCTTGCACAAACAGACGGACAGACAGACATCCGGATTTCAACTCATCTCGTCATCCTGATCATTTATATATATGATCTATATCGAACAAATTAAAAATTTGTATTGCCACTACCAGTATAAATAAGTAAGATTATGTGGAACCGGCATTTCAGAACAATAGAAATCTTACCTAACTGTAAATATTTCCGTAAACCTATCTATTATATTCCTTCTAGCGCAACCAACACCTTATTAAAGGGTTAGGAATAGTTAAATTTAATAATTTGTATATTATTTTAAAAAATTGTCTGTACGTACGTATTTGAATGAAAGGATGATATTTCACACATTGATTACCAGACTACACTATATACTACAATACTACTCGTTATTCAGCTACATACATTTAGTAGAATTTTTCTAATTTATGAAATTTGTTGGTAAGTCAAAAATCATTGATAGTCAAAATAAATTTTCGATAGTCAGACGAAAATAAAACTAACGATACTATCGATAGACCCATCGATTGTCTGCACCTCTAATCAGAAGTTGACTGAACGGGTTCATGCGGACGGAAGTGTTTATTTTACGTATGAAATTAAACTAATTCTTACGCTATAAAATATCATATAGTCCCTTTTTTAAATGTAAATAGTTTAACTATAGTCTAATAACCACTCAACCGGAAATAATAATAATTTTGATACATTTATTTGAACGTGCACATATTCAGTCCAGCATAATTCCAATGATTCGCTTTGTCACACAGTAAACGCACCAACACAATGTCAATTTATGAAGGTGGTTTGGTTGTGGTCGTGGCCATCTCTGATCATAAACTTGTCAACATTAATAGATCAGCAAATACTAACACCGAAGAGAAACCAAGATCTTCCACAAAATAAAATGTCTGGACTAAATATATCTACAAGTATAAGTAGACTCACTCCGACCTTTCATTTTATTTAAATCTGCACATTCCTTTCATTTTGACACAATGGATTTAAGCGACGCAACCCATTGAAAAAGTTTCACAAAAATTAAGATAATATTCAAAAGCAGCGAAATTGAAATTTAAAATATAAGTATCTATTATATATGTAGTTAATTTATATTTTGAATAAACGTTACTCAGCGCGGCCGAAATTGTTAGCTCTTAAGGAAAGGCAAAGTTTTAGATGAATTGTGTCACTTTTAATGTAGAATAAGATTGTTATTTACCTAAAAATATTGATTCAAATTTACTTATTTGGCTATTTATTTTATATTAATCCAACGAATTATTACCAACCCAATTGAGGAGTACGGAGGAGCAATGGAGAAGTATTAAAGGCTTAGAAATATTTATAGGTTCTGACAAAAATGTATATTTAAACAAGTAAGGAAGGGCTAAGTTCGGATGTATCCGAACATTTTACACTCTTCCAAGGACTAAAGCCTTGTTTTCGTTTACGGTAATTTTTTAATTGCTTATGATTTCTATAATATATTCGGTATTATACAAAAGGGATAAAGGACTGAAAACAAATTCTTAGCTATAGTTGCATTTGAGCTTCCTGTACTAAAGATGAAAACTAAACGCCGTAGTAATGAACATACCATTTGTATATATACATATGTACGAGTATGTATGTATTACAGTAGTGATGTTCTTTAATAATGTAATCACAAAATGTTCTGTGCTTCGTTTTGACATTATAACTTTGTATGAAAACTCGATTAAACCGAGTCACGAACTGTCTCATATTCTAGATGACATCGCCAGTCATATTAGAAAATGCTGCTTAAATGGTATTCAGTATGCTGCTAATGAAAAAAACTGCGAACAATACGATTACGAAGTGAGCGCGATACCCCCCCTATGGCGTGGGCTTTGTCATTCGACGTATGGTGTTTGTTGTTCAAAGAAATTGGAAGAGCAGTATTGTGTTGCGGGACGCTTAGCTGCCTTGCGGGGTACTCGTTGCGATGATGAATACAATACTAACGCATATGCAAATTGCTGTCGCGCTTGTCAGGTGGGCTTAGCTGTAAAGGCTAGTAGTAACGATTGCAACAATGCGCTTTTTTCATATTTTGCGAAAATCGATACATATCACATTTGCTGTGATGGCAGTAAAACTAATTATAACTATCCTGGCGCTATAATAATTGATGACAACAACGGTGATTATGTGAGTAATGAAGAAAACGATAAATTGGAAGCTAAAGCAAATAAATTTTTTAACGGCTCGGACGAGAAAGATCTAATTGTTGAAGACGAATTGATTGGAAATGCAAGTGATGGTACAATTGTGTTGCCAGAAGATGACGGTAAGTAAATGCAAATACGCTCCTAATATTGCTATCTACATTTACATACTTATTCGTAAAAAAATAACTCATGATGATTTAGATGATATATGCGGTAAAGTGAAGAATCTGTGCGCGCATATTTGTGAGAATACGAAGGAAGCGTATCGTTGCAAATGCAATGCTGGCTATAAGCTGGATGAGAATAACGTGACTTGCTCTCCAAACAATGGTAAATATTGCACAGCACAGATTCTAAAATCGTTTTTAATATAATATATGCAAATAAGTTGCATATAAATTTTTATAAGTTTATGTGTATCAAAACTCTTTTTAAAATTTTGAATTAAATATTTCATACCTCTAGAGCTACATATAGCGTCCTTTTTGACCAAAAGATTGTTCGATATTTTGTTATTACACAAAAGAATATTAAGATAAACATTATTCATTGAAGTGGCTAGTAAAATCTTCGTTTAATTACACTGACCGACATAATATTATAGTTCACAACATAGATCACAAAATCAGATTCAATTTTACCGTATCACATCAGGTTTTTAGTAAAGTTATTTTATTGGCTATTTTATATTTTTTGACAAAAATAAATTAAATCATTGCATTTCGGCTCTCGTTTCTTGAATCGTGAGACCTCTCGCGGAAAACATATTATTTCCAACACCGACACAGCCATTATAAAAGGGTTATATCAAAATAAAAGCTCATTTACATAAAACTCTCCTCGTTTTGCTTGACAGGTTGTACTTCGAAACGAAGAAAACATGTGGTTTGTCAGAATGAACGCTTTACTTTCCGTGCTTCTCTGAGATATTATATAATTCTAATCTTACATACATACTTCAAAAATATATTTCAACCCAGTTGAAAAATAATAGATATAAAGGAAATATAAATGGCGATTGTTGCTTGTCACGAAAAGATATGAGTCGCCCAACATTTTCCTTTGCTTTTCATTGAGACTCGTAGCATAATTATGCATGCGCAGAAGACATGCTGCTTCTTTGTTTGAACATCTCGTATAGTTTGTTCGATTGGTTAGTATGATTGATTTTTAATCGACATTGCACAAAAATTTCGCTGATTTTTATACCCGGAACAAGGTAATATCATGTTTGCAACGAAGTTTGTAACACTCAAAAGGAAACGTCGGAGACCCTATAAAATGTATAAATATAAAATATACCTATATAAATGATTAGTGTGACGAGATTCGATTCAGCTACATATGATAGTCTATCTGTCCGTCTGTCTGTATACAACGAGTCGTTCGTTTTTGAGATACCCATCTCTCACACACGTCCTTTACTCCCATGCAAGCTGCTCATTAGTCGGAACTGCTGATATCGGACCACTATAGTATATAGCTGGCATACACACTGTGTTATCTATATCATGTTCTTGTATAGAAATTTTTTCATTTAAGAAGGTATCGTCACGAAATTCGGCATAGATTATTATTTAAGGCAATGCTACAATCTCCGAAAAATTGTTCAGATCTGAATTGTAGCATATAGCTTTCATTTAAGTTGACCGATTAAAATCAAGATAAAGATCTTTTTAGACGCTTTTATGCTATTGTATAAAAAATGCACACGTGAAGGGTAGTATAGCTTTGGTGCAGCCGAATTAACGTTCTATCTTGTTTTTGTATTAGTTACAAAATTGGTTTAATTGCTATGCTATTCCAATGAAATTTATCGAGTCCGGTAATTTAATTTTATGCAATTACAAACTTATTCATTTTAATTAATTAGATCAAACGGGATTTGATCCAAAACTTTATCATATAATAATAGCTTATTATATTTAAAAATTAACACCAGATTAGTATGAGCAAAACTAATATTTTATAAACAAATTTGTAGTTTCGGATAAAGTACACAAAAATGAAGTCAATGCGGGGAAAGACATAGAGGATGTTCACGAAGGTGATGTTGGAAATGTAGAAAGTCAGGCAAAAAAAGGCGTAATTGATGATAACCAGTCAGAAGACATTAACAAAGTGGAATCAATAAGTTGCGGTACTGGTTATGAATTTAACTACATCAAAAGAAAATGCCTGGATGTTGATGAATGCGCTAATAAATTACACAATTGTAAAATCAGTCAGTATTGCCATAACACTATGGGCGGTTTCCATTGTTTGAGCGTCAATTCCAGGAAGTGCGACCCACATAAAGAAAAATGTGAAAATGCCTGCAGTGCCGGTTTCCAATACAAAAATGAAGGCTGCGTCGATGTCGATGAATGTTTAGTAGATGAATATGCATGTGATAGCAGTCAGGTGTGCTTCAATGACATTGGCGGTTACCGCTGTGATTGTAAAATAGGGTTTAATCTAGATGCGACCACGAATGCATGTGTGGGTGAGTACTCTAAGTTATATAAAAAACAAAAGATGTGTCCCAAAATTTTTAACACCTAGGGCATGCTCAAAACGTCGCATCAATTTAAGGGGATGCTTTTGAAAAATTATATTTTATTGATCCAAGTCACCATTGGTAAAGTTAGAGTTTTCTCCAAAATAACTAGCTACCTTTCCTACCAGTAAGTACTCGTATTTTTTCTTGAGATGTAGAGACAGAAGATCCTGCTACGGACCAGATCCGAAGAATACTCTTTTCAAGATAATCAATTTAAATTATTAAAGCCATCAGTTTAGAGTTAGAGCTTTCACGATTAACATCAATCAATGGTTATTCAAATACATTTTTTTGGAATTTAGTAAAGCATGTCAATGGTTTCATTCTCCGTCACAGAACCGAGACAACACTGAATAAGTACTGTTTTGACATCAGCAGAGTTTTTATACCCTGAGTAGGGTATATTAAGTTTGTTTCGATGTTTGTAACACCCGGAAGGAAACGTCGTATACTCTATAAAATATATATATAAATGATCTGCTTGATCACATGAGTCGATTTAGTCTGTCAAAAACGCGAACTATTCCCTCAGTTTTTGAGATATCAATCTGAAAATTTACAGACGTCCTTTTCTTCCAAGCTACTAATTTGTCGGACTCGCCGACATCGGACCACTATCGCTTGTAGCTGCTTTGTGAAATATTATATTTCCATTTATAACCGCAAATTTATGTTACATCATATACGCAGAAAGACGAAGGCCACATTCGCCTATACTCGTATGTAAAATTTGATAGTAGTGTTTTTAATTAATTAAATTACATGCATGTGAACTTTTCCAAATTGTATTCACAATGATCTCATACCTTCATACATTTCCAGATATAAATGAGTGTTCTATCAATAACCATAACTGCCTACCAACGCAGCGATGTGACAATACATACGGTTCATATGTCTGCGTTAGACTTCAAAGCTGTGGTACCGGTTATACACTAAATGCCGAAACAGGCAACTGCGATGGTAAGCAAAACATACAATAGCAAAAATTTATTTGAAGCAGCAAGAGTATAAAAACTCTTATATATTTCTTATACATAACAGAAACAAATTTAGTGATTAATTTTAAAGTTTGCTTGTGAAAAGATTGATGTTTTTTTTTTACATCTCCTAAAGACGATGATGAGTGCACACTAGGAACTCATAACTGTCCACTTGATTATGAGTGCCATAACACGAAAGGTTCTTTCCGTTGCTACCGTCGCACACCAACAACTATAGCAACCACAACGACGAAGGCGACTACTACAACTACCACGTCACCACCAGTCAGTGGTTTATCTAATTATTACTACCATAATCGTACCTCATATAATAATCCAGGTCAATATGCTTCTCGGCAAACCCACAGTTATAACTATATGCGGGAGGATGTACAGCGATACACTGGCATTGGTGAAACTGAAAATAATCAACTCCCACCATGTAGTATAGGCTTTCATCGGAACAATTTGGGTGCTTGCACAGGTAAATAATATATACCTATTTATTTGCTTCAGAAATACCAGACCTATCACCACAATCCTGTTAATATTTTCGTCAAACGCCTGATACGCATTAACTGGTTCTACGTATATACTATATGTAAAAATTTATACTTCACACTTTTTTAAAACTCAGCATAATTATTATTTAAAACTGTGTTTTATTATGTATATTATTTACTTTTACTACTTTTCTCCATAAATTCCATTACACTGAATTTTTTACATACATAGAAGTTAACGAAAGATAAAAATGAAAAGAAAATACGCTAGGCTTAAATTCACGTGCGAGGTCCAATGCCTCACTTAACCCATTATATGGATATATTAGGTAAAGTAAAAAGCTCGTTCGGTTTCTTATTGATTTTTCAAAAGATAATAACTTTGTGTGCATTTGTGTTCATAAACTTGTTGCCAACGAGATGCCAACTTCATTATACCCCTCTCTTAGAAGGCTGCGTCCCTATTGGCAAAAAACTCGGAGAGCCAATTTTCACAGGCCTCTCTTGAGGCTAACTTCTTACCATTAAGCGCGTTCGCCATTGACAGGAAAAGATGGTAATCACTTGGTGCCAGGTCCGGACTATAAGGTGGGTGCATTAGGACCTCCCATCCGAGCTCCAGGAGCTTCTGGCGAGTCACCAAAGACGTGTGTGGCCTGGCGTTGTCCTGATGGAACACAATTCGTTGTGTTGTTGATCAAAGATGGCCTCTTTTGGATGAGTGCTGCCTTCAAGCAGTCCAGTTGTTGGCAGTAGAGGGCCGAATTGAGCGTTTGGCCATAGAGGAGCAGCTCGCAGTAGATGATTCCTTGCCCATCCCACCAAACACACAGCAAAACCTTCCTGGCCGTCAATCAGGTCTTGGCCACCATTTGGGCCGCTTCCCCGAGCTTTGACCACGACCGTTTGCGTTGTTGTCATAAGTGACCCATTTTTCATCCCCAGTCACAATCCGCTTCAGAAACGGGTCGATTTTGTTGCGATTCTGCAGCGATTTGCAGATGGAAATTCGGTCCATCATGTTTTTTGCGTTAGTTCGTGTGACACCCAAACATCGAGCTCCTTTTTGAATCCAAGGTTATGCAAATGGTTCCAAACGGTTTTCTGGCTTATCTTCAGTTCCTAAGCAATTAAATAAGTGCTCACGTGGCGGTCTGTTTCCACTATTTCCATGATTTTATCGCAATTTTCGACGACAGGCCTCCCAACACGTGGTGCATCTTTGACATCGAAATTACCGGAACGGAACCTAGCAAACCACTTTTGTGCTACACGTTTGTTTACAGTATCGGGCCCATAAACTAAATAAATTTTTTCAGCCGCTTTGGCTGCTTTTTCGCCTTGATCGAAGAAAAATTGTAAAATATAGCGAATTTTCTCTTTGCTGGTGTCCATCTTTGACGAGCGCTCACAACGTACTGAGTCAATCGATCGAAAAACTGTCAAAGACATTTAGGGCGAATAAACGCGTTTTCAGCGCCGTATAGTATGACATGATGCGACACGTAACACTAATACTATGGACAATAACGCCATCTCTTAGATAAAAACCGAACGAACTTTTTACTTTACCTAATATTTACATATATGGTACAATTCGGTAGGCTATTAGTTCAACACATGCAATATGAACAGAGAAGCACAATGTTATTACCATGTTATGGCTACTTTAAATCTGCTTACGCTACCGATCATTACTCAGAAATACAAATCGAAACTGGCTGTGGCATTGCCGAGTATGAGTTACCAGCACAGGATTTTTTCCCTAAGAACCACTTCAACGGCTGCACTAGCGGCGGCGTTGGGTGAGTTCTGCACAGGAGCCTTCGTACATAGCTCGAAAATATGGGATTGGTGGATAAAATATACCACATACCCTCACGTTTTATTTATAAGAGAAGATTTCAAGTCACACCAACAGAAGGTAGATGGCGTAGGAGCATGCGACTTGCTAGATAAGTACCGCTGGTTTCACAGACGGATCAGAAATAGCTAATGGGATGGGAGCCGGAATATCGGAGCTGCATCTCAGGCGACCCTTCAAGCTTTCGGAGTACTGCAGTATTTTTCTGGTGGAAGACTTTTCGTTCAGGGAAACGGCTGAGATAGCTAGCAACGCAGGAAATAACATAAAAATTATCAATATATACGTCGATAGCCAGGCGGAATTTAAGGCAATAATTTTACATCGTACCACATCAGATGATGTCTTTGGCTGTCGGAAAGTGGCTGCATATATTCTGGCTTCCAGGCCATAAAGGAATCCCGGAAAGAGAAATAGCTGGTGAAATTACCAAAAGTTATATCTGTCTGGTTACTGAACGAGTACAGGAAATATGTTCCTACGACAAAAGGAAGAAGATACAATCACCTTTTCATCCATAAAACCTCTATGTCGCTATGTCTGACTTTGGTATCCCGCAAAGCTTATTTGGCTATGTAAACCGTTCAATACCAAAAGGAATTTCAGACAGGGTGACTCCTTATCATATGATTTCTTCTATATGTAGCTGGAGAAAATAATAAGAGCTGCCGAACTAAATAGGAAAGATACAATATTTTACAAAAGAGTACAATTGCGTTTGCCGATTGTATTTAGATTATTGGCCTTAACAACGGCGCCGTTAGTTTCGCATGCTCTAGACTAGATAAAAAAGCGAAGCGAATGGGTCCGGTTGTGGGCGAGGACAATAGAAAATTTCTCCTGCCATCAAACAAGCAGTCATCGCATTTACGCCTTGGCTTCTACTTCACTGTTGGCAGCCAGCTTTGAAACCCAACACAGAATCGCTCTTGCACCTGTTAGTACTTTGGACTGAGCATTCAACTAAAAAGTAAAGTTCTCTTCTGATAAACCAAAACCAAACTCTACAAGTCGTTCATAATACCCTTTCTGCTATATGGTGCAGAAACGTGGACTATGTCAACATCCGATGAGACGGCACTAGGAGTTTCCAAGTGAAAGGTTTTGTGGAAGATTTATTGTCCTGTGAGCAACGTCAACAGCGAATACCGCAGATGATGGAATGATGAGTTATACGACGATATGGACATAATTCAGCGGCTACGCTGGCTGGTCATGTTGTCCGAATGGATGAAAGCACAACAACTTTTGCTGCTGGGGAAAGGGAAGGGAAAGACCAGTTGAAGAGTGTATCTTTCTAAATTATTTTCATTAACGTGTTTGCTTTTGATCTACTTGAATGGTCATTGAACTACGATGTATTGGAAATGCCGATTTCACAATTTCGATATATGGGAACTATCTGAGGTACTTTTTACCGTGTGCCTCCATTCTCAAATACAATAGAGGGTTGAGTGCCAAGTTTAACTTATATTGGTTCCATTTCCATGAGAAACGAAATCATTAAATAGGTGCGTTGTCGCTTTAATATAATATTATCTCATTTAAATAATTGTATTTGTGCAAAATGTTTATCTTTAGTTTACAGGATATGCATAAAGGATAGCTATCTCACTAATATTAAATGAGATATCTATAAGTATATTTAAAAATTTACCGTACCAGTATAAAATTTGTGGTTTTGACATAGTAATGATTAGCAAAAGTAAGATAATTTGATAATCCGAAGGGCTTAGGTGTGCATGTGCGCTAGTTTATTCTGCGTACAGGAAAAACGCGGGCATTTTAAGAACTCCTAGTATTTTGTACTTCTCCAAAACTTATTCTTTGTCCTCAGATTTTTAATTTCGTTAGTAATTTTTTAGAGGATTATATTCAATGTATCAATATCTGCGAGACCGTGTTTTCAATGCAAACTGATGCTATAACATAAAGTAATAAGTGGCACGGTGATTACAAATTACTGCATAAGATTCATCTCATAGAAATACTATTCTATGATCAATAATTCTAATATCATGAATATATTTATTTTTGTCATGTGTTCGATTTTACCGTTTTCTGCATTTCCCTACAAGGTACACTTGTTCTCAAAATGCGCGATTGTTTGTAAAATTAGTTATATCGTATGTATGACATAAATATTTTTTTTAACAGATCTCAATGAATGTATTTTAATGAGCCCTTGCAGCTCACATCAACGTTGCATTAATACAAATGGTTCCTATCGCTGTCAAAACTTGCTACAATGTACGGCGGGCTATAAATCCACTTCAGACGGCACGCAATGTATAGGTAATGCTTTGATAAATGTTTTGGAAAAATTCAAAATTGAGTCCCATTTTTACCCTGTATACGAATAGTGCTACAAAAATAAACCGTAATAACTTTTTTCTGTGTGATTAATCGACTTCCTTTTTTTATTTGGCAGATTATTATTTAATTTTTTTAAAAATGAGTGCTTGAAATACCGGGTTACATAGGGTTTGGATAGTGTAGCAGTACTATGCTTTGCAGTCTGTCATTTCCGTCCACAGGGAATTCAGACGGGATTTTGATGACACTCCCCATGTATATATTGAATATGGAAGTATCGCAAGAAGAGCGTATCATCGAGATCCGTATGTTCGCGATCAAGAAACAATCGCGGCTTCGCGTTTTGACTTATCGGCGCAATTTGGAGTTAGCAAACGGTCATTACAACGGATAAAAGTTCAAATAACAAGCCGGTTAAACCATCTAGAGTTGACTATTCGCAACATTATGGAACAACTGCACATATAGCCAGACCGGTTATTGCGGAGCCCCAACGGAAATTTGAAAACAAATTTAAATCAAGAAACTCCACTTTCCGCTGGCCTCCAAGGTCACCTGATCTGACTGCACCTGACTTTTTTTTATACGGTTTTGTTAAGCAAGAGGTGTAAAAAACAAAACCCAGAAATCTGACTGACTTAAATCGATAATTGAGGCAATCCCGACTTCAACCCTTCAGGCCGCATTGAATAATTTTCTAATAAGGTGTCGCTTATGCGTGGTTGAACGTGAAGGTCATTTACGGTCCATAATTTTTAAAAATAATTATTTATATATAATCAAATACAATTTGCTATACAATAAAAAAAATAAATGTATTGCATAGATTAGAATAAAAAGTTATTACGTTTTTTTTTTTGTAGCACGATTCGTGAGCTACCCTCTATATTTTCTTTTACTCTATTTTATTTATTAATAGATATTGACGAATGCGAAACCGGAGAACATCAGTGTGCTGAGAATCAGATTTGTCGAAACCGCAACGGTGGATATATTTGTTCATGTCCACCGGGGCATCAGCTTTTACGAATGCGCGACGTAAGCCGTTGCATAGACATAAATGAATGTGACCAGGGGCATCCACCGGTTTGTCCCTCAAATGCTCAGTGTCTGAATACCATAGGATCCTATTATTGTGAATGCAAGTCTGGATTCCAAAAAAGCAAAGAGAACGAACACATTTGTTTGGATGTGGATGAGTGCCAGGAAATACCGGGCTTATGTCAACAGAAGTGTGTTAATTATTGGGGAGGTTACCGATGCACTTGTAACCAAGGATTCGAGTTAAGTGCCGACAATCGAACATGCAATGATGTAGACGAATGCGTAGTACATAAGGCGTACAAACTCTGTATGGGCTATTGCAATAATGTTCCCGGATCTTATGAGTGTTCATGTCCGCGCGGATATGCGCTGGCTCTGGACAAAAATACTTGTCGCGATATTGACGAGTGCGCAACCGAAGAATTTTGTACGGGACGTAACGATATATGCACGAATATACATGGTAGTTACAAATGTACCTCCATACATTGCCAGTACGGATATGTCAATGATCCGGATCAGAAAAAGTAAAGCTATAAAAAATATTTTTTTATTTAAAACAATATATTGTATATCAATATATTTTTTTTATGTCAGCCGTTGCCGCTTGACCAGCAATCTCTGTGAGGGCGACGAATGCTTTAGCAAACCATCTGCTTACACTTACAATTTTATTACACTTGTCTCAAAGCTTATGATACCTCCAGAAGGTAGGATCATATTTACTCTTCGTGGACCTCTTTGGTATGATGATATCGACTTTGATTTAAAAATCATAAAAATTCAGGCGGCAGCTAATATTGAAAAAGCGTCGGATAATCACTTTGAGTAAGTTGATCAAAACGTCTTAGGTTCATTCAATACTTTTACATTTTTCTCAAAATTTATAGCACCATCAAGAGCAAACATGAGGTTCACTTACAGTTGAAACGTTCAATGGAAGGTCCGCAGGATATTGAACTGGAACTAAGTATGACGGTTTTCACAAATGGTATGCCGCGGGGAAAGAGCGTTGCCAAAATATTTATTTTAGTGTCACAGTACACCTTTTAAAATTGGCACACAAAACAATGTACTTATAAAAAACGTATATTGCTACTTTTTTGTTTATGATTTAAATTAATTGTTTCAAAATTACCTTGGGAAATTATTGTTGCAATAAATCATGTTTCTGTCTAATATCTTAGTGTAAAACGACTAACCGAATAGTGTTAACACCAACATAGTGCTGCTGCGTTAAATTACAAAAAACACAACTAATTTCGGGTGCAAAGCCTGCAGGTGTTGGCAAAACTTTATATTAAGCAAGTAAGAAAGTTTTAAGTTCGGGTGTAACCGAAAAATTTGTACTCTTGCAACTCGCGAGAATCAAAGCCGGCTAAATACCTTCAGGTGTAGGCAATATTGAAAAATGTAGCGAAAGGGTTCAACTTCAGTGTTCGACGAAATCGTGAATGGCTAAAAATCAAAATTGGTATCATATTAAATTTTTTAGAAGGTCATAGACTTTCTTAGTTTTATTGCTATATATTCAAAGATACACTCTTATTAGAAAAACATGCTCAGTCAATTTCATATAAATTTCTAGCACATTGGTCGATATATGTGGTATAAAGTCAACTGGAAGTTCGAAATTTTTTTTTATTAGATAATGGTATATTATTATCAAAAAAGTATTTTCTCCGAATTTCAATAATGAATCTCTTAGATTGACCGACATTTCCGCCAAAATGCCATACACTCTGGCGTCCACATATATGGCGTCTGGGTTCTTCAAAAGTTATGGTCCGATTTCGACAATCTTATGTCTCTGAAACATTTAGTTATTGATTTATCGCACTTTTAGTAGTTTTGAACAAAACCGTTACATGGGGAGTGAGCGTGGTTAACGTCCAATTTCATCTACCGTGTTTTCACACTGTTGGTAGGGGCTCTTAACTTGGTTATTGCAGCTTTAGTGGTTTAAGATATATGTACATTAAACCTCTTAAAGAGCTTACAGGTGCCCCTTGCTACTGTAATCTATACCAAATTGCAGTTTTATATCTTAACAATGTGCTTAGTTATGGCATTTTATAGAATGGCGTTTTATAGGCGTGGCAGTGGTCCGATTACGCCCATCTACGAAGTCGTCCTTACATTTTTGCCAAGGAACACAAAGTTTCATTACGATATCTATATTTTACTCAAGTTAGAGCACGGACAGGCGGACGGACAACACTCACCTGAATTTCAACTCATATCGTCATCGTAATCATTTATATATACATAACCCTTTATCTAACTCGATTATTTTTAGGTGATACAAATAAGAGTCAGGTGAACAAAACTATTATACTCTGTAGCAACATGTTGCAAGAGCATAAAAATGTTGTGAAAGAATTCAACATTAATTGTTCGACAAAATCGTGAGTGGATTAAAATCAAAGTTGGTATCTTATAAACTTATATCATAGGTCATAGACTCACTTAGTTTTTTTACTATATTTTACTTCGTGTCCAGCTAGAGAATAGGAATTTATTATATAAAGCGTATGAGTTTTGGAGCAAGGTCTTGATCAATTCCGTTTATTCTCAGTGCTAAGAAACATAATTTTAAAGAAAACTTTTCAAACTTCATTTCAATACAATATCACACATTTTGAACAACCTAAACGGTTTAAAGCCAACATTTCTATAAATATATAACTCAATATATACAGTATAAGGCCAACCAGAAGAAATCTTTTTTTAAACCTTTTTTTTGATACAGGCAAATATTATCAGAAAAGGATTATTTTCGAATTTTGATAATGTATCTCACAGATTGACCGATATTTTTAGTAAAATGTTAGCAATAGTCACTATGGTCCATATAATCGGTATCTAGCGGATTGAGCAGTTGTAGTTCGGCTTTGACAATTTTTGATCGTGAAGCACACCTTTTGAATCTTATCCCGGTGTGTACATTGCCGCATTTGGAACGAAGAAATTCAAGAGCTACCATTTCATCCAGAAAAAACAGGGACATTTTCTTTTGGGTCAAAAAGGAGGATCCAAATTCCCCTGTTTCATGTGCATATGAGATAGCCGAGTCAATACAGAAGACTGGACTTAAAAAGTTTGGCCTTTGAGAATGAATTTAGTACCAGGTGGCGTGAATGTGATGAATGCATCTTTAGTAGCCGGATACAGAATTATATTAACCCCTCTTAATATGAAGTTAGGTCTGATAAAACAGTTTCTAAAAGCAAATTGAAACTGGTTTTTAAATAAAAATTCTCAACTTAGCCTTGACAATAAAGTTTTGTTGTAGAACGCGATATTAAAGCCGATCTGGATGTATGGTATTCAACTATGGGGTACGACGTGTGCAATTAATATTGATATAATACTCTAGTCAAAAATCCTTAGAGCTATAACGAGTTCACTATGGCACATTCGAAATAAAAACATTCTCAAAGATCTTGCTATTCCTATGGTAAAAAAAGAAGTAGAGGACAGCAGAAAGAACTATGAACTTAAACTCCGTAACCATCCAAATCCATTAGCTAATGCCTTGCTACAGCCTTGTAATCAAACCCGCTTAAAAAGGAAAGATCTACTAACCTTTTAAAGATTTTATAAGATAAATTCTAGTTTTAATTAGATTTAAGATTTTTACTTGTTGTTAGGCTTTGAGCAAGCAAATTCAATAAATAGAGATATATTAACAAAAAAAGAAAGAAAACAAAACTCTCCAAGGATGGGGAATGTTTTAAATAAATCAGTAAAATAATTCCGAAATTGAGCGCAGAAAATAATAAAGCTGGTATTTTTGACGGTCCTCAAAACAGGTAACTAATAAAGGACCAACATTTTACCGATTGTTGGCTAGATAAGGAGATGTCTGCATTGATTGAACTCATTTGGGTTGTGCAAAATTTCTTAGGAAATAAAAAGTCTCCGGACTACATTCAACACATCGAGCAGCTCATCGTGCACTTCCAGAAACTAGGATGTAATATGAGCATCAAGATGCACTTATTTTTCAGCAATTTAGACCGCTTCCCAGGAAATTTTGGCGACTTAACCGAAGAACAAGGATAACGCTTTAATCCGGATCACACTATGGAAGCGCGATACCAGGGTCGTTGGAATGCTAATATGATGGCTGATTACTGCTGGAGCATTTAAACCAAGACAGATGTTTCGACTCATGTAAGTAAAGCACATAAAAGAAAGTTTTTTTTCTCGTTGAGTAAGAGCAATATAAAAAAACTAGAGCAGCTAGAGAAAAACTGACAACAGTCTTGAAATCGGCGAGGCAAAATCATAAAAAATTGGGCAAGAAACTTCATAAAATGAAACTATGCAGTGTAATCATTCGAAGATAATTCTACTTCAGGCGTAAACTTAACCTTCTTTATCTTTTGGAACCGCGAACGATCAGATAATAATCGATTATTACTAAATGTAAATGCCACTGGAGGTGTGGGATTTGGATTTTCTGATTTTAAAGTATATTTAGGGTTAAAAAAGGAATTTAGAATTGCGTTGTTTGTAAAAGCTTGTTCCATTATAATTATCAATTTTCATTGGTGTTATTTTATTTAAATTAAAATTTTTGATCCCTGTTGACTGATATTAATGCAAAAATGGTCTTCGCCGATGAGACTTAATTGTACGTCAGGGCTGATAGAAAGTCCGTATGTCTAGCGGGGAATAAGTCATCACATAACGGTCTTCGATGATCAGATATGTAGACGCGTAACGCGTTCTCTCTAGCCTGCTCGTTAAAAGCAGCTATGAGCTCATTGTTACCACTATGGGTCATAATGAAATATATAATAACTTGCTGTCTATTCGATTATAGTAATCAGTGATAGACGAATTTTACTGTTTTAAAATACTTAACTCATTATCTTTAACATATTGCTGTCTTTTACCTGAATAAGTCTGTGAATAATTTAAATTTAGAACAGATTTAAAGGATTCTATTTCTACAGATTCGATAATTTTATTTCCATTGCATTATAGTACCCCTCCGAACCCTTCTTTTAGTATTCATAGGGAATTGCGCGGCACTTCGCCAAGCAAGCTGTAAATTGATTAAAAATTGAGATATCTTTATGAAACTTGGTATACATGTTTCTTGGTACCGTAAGACGGTTGGTATTGCACATGGGCGTAATTCTGGTGGTCGTGGTCCCGCCCCCTAATAGGTTTAATGCGCTTATCTCCTAAACCGCTAAAGCTATAATAACTAAATTCGCTGAAATGCTTTTAACACCTCTATCGACAGTGTAAAAATGGGTGAAACCGGGGGACAACCCCGCCCACTCCATATAACGGTACTGATAAAAACTACTAAAAGCGCAATAAATAAAGCAGTAAACACGCCAGAAGCATTAAATTCTATCTCTGGGATGGTATTAGATGACTTTATTGGAACCGACTTCAAAATTAGGCAGTGGGCGTGACACCGCCTACTTTTTGGTAAAAACCCATATATTGGAATCTGCTTAACCAATTTCAACTAAATTCGGTACATAATATTCTTCTTATATTTCTATGTAATAGTGCGAAAATGGGCGAAATCGGATTACAACTATGCCTACTTCCCATATAACACCATTTTAAATTCCATCTGATTCTTTCACTTTCCCTATGCAAATCAAGCAACAATGATTGTATCGGGGTAAAAATTTGCATGAACAATGCGTTTAAAGTGTGCCACCTTGTGACTAAATATTGCCTATAGTTAACTTTTTACCGAAATTATCGCTCAATGTGAAGGATATTTATTTCATATAATAAAATAAATAAATTAAACCTTCCATAATAGTATGTTTTGTGTCAAAACTGGGTTGAATCGGATCAATACTTCCTTTAATATAACATTTTTCCAGGACCTGAAGTAGTTTCCCGGCTTTGATCCTTGCTTACGAGAGTATAAAATGTTCGGTTACACCCGAACTTAGAACTTTCTTACTTCTTTTAATTACGAAATGTGTTTGATTGGGCAAAATTTACTCTTCTAATAAGAAAAACTGAAGAAGACAATAAGTTGATGACTTGCCAGTTTATATCAGATGTAGGTTCATTTTGATCTAAACGGAAATGCTAAAGAAGACAATAAGTTGATAACTTGCCTGTTCATATCTGATGTAGGTCTATTTTGATCTAAACGGAAATGTAAACAAGCGAAATTGCCGTATATGGAGTAAATCAAATCCAGAAATAATACACGAAACAGAACTTCACCCCGAACGAGTCACTGCATGGTGCTCTTTTTCATCAACTTTACTTCTTTAGAGGAAACGGTGTAACAGTAACTGTCAATGGGCACCGTTATTTAAAGATGTTAAATGAATTTTTTTTACCCAGAACTGCGCCGAAGACCCTTTCATTAGCGTTTGGTCTCAGAAAGATGGAGCAACTGTCCTGAATGCACCAGACTTTTTTTATGAGGTTATGAGGTTATGAGGCCGCAATGAATAACTTTATAATTAGGTGTCGCATATGCGTGTCTGAGCATGGAGGTCATTTACGGTCCATAGTTTTTAAAAATAATTTATTATAAAAAATGAAATGAAATTTGCTATACGCTAACTAGTTAAAAAGAGGACTAAGTTAGTATACATTGTGACCGGAAAGTTTCCAGAAATCGTTCGCGCTGAATATATTTTTTATTAAGTTGGTACCACTGTCCTTAATTCCTATGCCAAAAATGAGCGCGATCTGTCAACCGGTTTGTTTGCAGCAGCTGTTGAAATCAGTCGACCTTTGTATTGTTTTGCGATTTTTACAAAAGTACCTTTAAACCTTTGCATATACGAAGAAAAGTATTTCATTATAAAAATAACTAGCCGGACTAATGCTTGCGATTTTTTCTCAGCTTACTAATGAGATACACGGTTTTTTACCTATTTTTTATAAATAAAAAGTACATTTTTACAAACAATAAATTTTTTTTTTTCAATTTGGAATTAATTGTATTCGTTTATTAATATACATTAGGCTATTTAGTTACTAGTTTATACATTTCGAAGTAGTGTAATTAATTTAACGTTTATAAATTATTTTAGATTTCGAAATGTTTTATATTAGATCCGAAAGACTGCGCTACTGTCGTTGTATAGAATTTTCAATTATGATGTGTTATGAAATATTACCTTACGGTGTAATTAGTGTTTTTGCTAATTTAGTGCGGAATAGAATTATATATTTTTTAATCATTTTCTAACAAATGTTCACATGCGTTGATTAAAATCTGTCCTAATGGTACTTATAATTATTTTTGTTTTCGAAATATTTTATATTGGATCACACCGCGCTACTGTCGCTATACCAAATCTTCAATTCCAGTTTGTCCCAACTGATGGTGCTGAAGTCAAATTTAGAAAAAAATTTGAAACATCGAAACGTTTTTTTATATATTTATAATAAAAAATCGTATGCGTTGTGAAATATTACATTAAGGTATAATTAAGGTATTTGATAAAAAGTGTCTTTCGTATTTTGCGACGTAATTATAATAATCATACATGGCTACGTGAACTAGCCGCAAAAAATTTAGATATTAACGAAATTAATTTCCAAATACATACAACAAACTGTACCTGGTAATGAAATAATATTCAAATATATAATATTGACACTGTTGTTGATCCTGATGAAGTTGTCGAAATTGTGAAACATTTTTTGTGCCACAATTTTGAGTTGAAATTTTCGCACGGCCACTTATATGTTCCAAGGTTGGAAAACTATCGAAATTGTTTATACATATACATCCCTCAGGGGTTAACCAAAATACATCCAATGGCATAACCATAAATTTTGTAAATTAAAAAAACCAGAAATCTGTTATAAAATAGTTAGAGTTTAAACTTTTACGTGTTTATTAAAAAAAATAAGTTTTTAATTCAAACACGCATCAAATGGTCGAGTTGTGATGAATGTACATATGATGACGTCAGATATTGAAATAACTGTTAAATAAAAATCAAAACGATCCAGATTGTTAGAGTTGAAATATACGAATTAAATACTTGTGTACCATACAGACCAACGTCTGTCGGGTTGGTTGAAAAATACCGGGTATTACGCATAGATGGCGCTAGTTTTATTGAATTCATCTAATTTTCAGTTAGTACTAACATTTAAAAGACAGCTGTTAAATTTCTGACATTCTATTCATTAGTTTGAGAGTTATTGTGCTAAGAGTGACGCTTCTTTTGTTATTTTAAAAACAATGGATGCTAAACAATTTCGTGTTTTAATTTTACACTGCTTCTGGATGATGGAGAGTGGATGCAGCGTTTGCTGACTGTTGACCAAAAACGTGTTCATGATTCTGAGCAGTGTTCGGCCATGTTTAAACGTAACATACCATACGCAGACCTCAAAATGTTCGCCGGTAAGAAATTTCAATTTCGCTCAAATGAAGAGGTTATCACTGAAGCTGAGGCCTATTTTGAGGCAAAAGACAAATTGTTCTACAAAAGTGCTATTGAAATGTTGGAGCGGCGCTGGAAAGATTTTGTTGCTCTTGATGAAGATTATATTGAAGAATAAAGCCAATTTTGAACAAAAAAAACTATGTTTTCTGAGTTAGGTCCGGTCATTTTCAGCCCATGTGTTATAATGTATACTTATCTTTTTTTTGTAAATTGCAAGTGACCATTTTTGTAGAGCAGCAAATGTAGGAAGCAACAAAACGATGAGTTTTCCGATTTATTATGTTTTTTTTATAGAGTTATAAAATTCATTAAAAAAAATTGCCTAGAATATTTTGTAGAGCAATCAATTTCCTACAAAATCTATGAAACAAGATAGTACGTAGAAAACTGTAAGGTGGAGGACCTTCCCGTTACAATCAGGAGCTTATACTTGGAGCTCATTCTTAGAGGTGTCTAAAAATCTATTGTTTAGAGTGCCAAGAAAAAAATATTTATTTACCCTAATATCTATGGTATATATTTCGTATAAAAATAGTCTGCATTGCTTCAACTAATGGTAGAGAAAATGTGCTCACAGCTTCGTCGTGTTAAAAACTGCTGAAGCGTAAAGTAAATAGCGGTTCAAACGGAATTATGTAGAAAAATTAGGGACAGTCTAGTTTAAAGATGCAGAATTGATTGACAATTATCTTTCAAAAATTTCTTGATTTTGCACAATATTCTTTGCATGTATGCATGTTTATGTTTGTAACTTGGTGTGTTTGTGATTATTTTGACATTTACTGTCATCATGTGTCAAGAATTTACTGCCTCTGAAATTTCTTTGCCAATTCGAAAATTATTAGTGCGTTAGTAAAAAAATGTGAATTGTATTGAGTTTTTCGAACTGATACTGGCACGTGTGGCCGCCCAGTAACACCAATGGGGTTAACTAAAATAGCGTTCACAGTTATTTACAATCCTACTGTTAGATGATATGAGAAAAAGAGAGCGCATGGCATTGAAACTTTTGTGCTTCATTGCGGAACATTTTCTTCCTATTACTAAAGTAAATGTAGTCGTTATTACTGTAATCAGCCAACAGACCAAAATGTAAGCAACGATGACGGCGAAGTGCGCTCACAATAATGAGGTACTTGTGCTCGTTCTCTTTCGGAAACGTTAACGAAAGCTTTGAAGCAAGGCATGAAAATATTACCAAGCCATTAAAACTTTGTGAAGAATCAAACAGTTCTTATTTTTGGTTACGTTTGAAGCGTACAACTAAAGAAATCAATCAGAAGAGAGTTAGTTATATATATAAAAAAATTTGTTTCTTCATATTTTAATAAATCCATTATAATTAATAATTAGAAAGAGCGAAAACAATTTTTATTAAATATTCAAATTTACTTTTTAGGGTATGTATTCTTCATACATAGCAGTTTAATAGAAAACCTCGATTTGACAATGGTGCTATGTGAAGGAACATAAAGTACGTACGCGCAAACATATATATACACTAACATATGCATTTTGTACATATAATAATCATTAAAAAGGTAAAAGTAAAGGATATACGCAGCGTTAACTTGTGAAAGAAAATAAATAGGTATACGGCGCTCAGGCATAAGAATCTCTCCGATGGGCGCTTATGTCATTGATGAATAATGAGAAAACTAATTTTAGTAGGAAGTAACAACATGTTTACGTACGTGAACGTCAGTGTATTTATGTGTATACATATGTGTTTGTAATGTCCAGACGTTATAATAAATGCACTAATTTGCACGTAGTACGATAATATATTAATTTATAATAAATATAATAAATTTGCACGTGAGTACCATAATACCCATGTTTCCATTGTTTATGCCTGAATGCGTGCGTATACGGGGGTGTGCATAATGACACAACTGCCATAAGCTACGTGAAATGATAACAGTTCTGATTTTATAGTGACATTTTTATAAAGGTTCATGTAAGCAACTATGAAGCAGTGCGCATATGTGACTAAGGATTCTACGAATATTAACGTCTTCTGGCATTCAATTCTTTACTTTCAATAAAAAACGTTGTTGACATACATATTGCATATAATTTTAGGCTCATAGCCGTATTTCTCGTCTAAGAAAGTGCAAAAATGACCGAAAATACTACAGTAAATATATTAAGGCAAAACTAATGATTTCAAAACCAAATCAAAAGAACGCATATGTATGCTGTGAACTGAAAGTATAGGGAAAGGTATGTACATAAATCTTTGTGAGTAATATGGTTTGTCAAATTAGCAACATTGTACGTATATGTCTTGTTCGTTATAGTAGGACTTGTCAAGAAAACAATGTTAAAACAAAATATCATAAAACTTTTGAATAAAAATGGTTGCCATTAGTTTGTTAGTTAACTAATTCCATCTTTTGTACTAGCTTATTGTGTATATAGAGCTTCAATAACTTTTTATAAAGCTGCTTTTTAAAGAACGTTTAGAATGTATTTTCGGGCACATTAACGCATGTAACATCAATTATATAACATTTGACTATTGATATTCATATGCACGACTTTAACAACGAATAAGTGTTACTTCTGGATAGTAACTGGTAACAAGCTTTAAATAGCTCTAAGCAATGTTGATGTGGTGCTTAATACTGACGCCTTTCAAATGAAATAATTTGCAGCAGTCACTTTGATAATTCCATGCGTGGAAGGTTTGAAGAAAGCTAATGTTGACTCTTTCACGTATTTCGTGTAGTATTCAAAATATGTACACGATCTATCTAAATAAGCAGCGCAATTTATAAATGTATTTACAGTGGAATTGAGATTTTAGAGATTTCGACAAGCCTTAGGTATTTAATTAAAGTTTCTTATAGAATGAACGGAAACGTGATTAAGGATCATATAAGGAGTAAAAAAATTATTAATGTTGGTGACGTATTTTTTCAGGGTTGTCTTGGACAATAATCCATGCGAAATTTCATAAATATATCTTGTCAAATAAACAAATTTTCCATACAAAACTTGATTCTATTGTTTGTATGGTAGCTTTATGCTATAGTGGTCCGATTTCGTTAAGATATCTGCCAAATAAAAAAGTTTTCCTTAAAAGAACTTTATTCCGATCGTTTATTTTGTATGGCAGCTATATTCTGCCGATATCGACAGTTCCGACAAATGAGCAGCTTCTTGGGGAAAAAAGAACGTATGAAAAATGTCAGAACGGTATTTCAAAAACTTATCACTCAGTAATATATACAGGCAGACAGACGGACATGGCTAAATCGACTCAATTCCTCACGCTGAAGATTTATATATAATATATATTTCCTCCGACATTTCCTTCTGTATGACAGCTACAAGTATATACTGTAGTAATTCGATCCGAACAATTTGTTCGGAAAGTGTCGCCTTGCCATGGACAATAACCCTTACCAAATTCCATGAAGATATCTTGTCTAATAATAAAGTTTTCCGTACACGGACTTGATCGTACCATATACATTTTAAAGGGTCTCCGATGTTTCCTTTTGAGTGTTACAAACATTGTGTCAAACTTAATATAACCTATTCAGGGTATAGAAATTGAAGTATAGCATTTTAAGCAAAACTAAGTTTTTGGCTCTTTATGCTGTGTTTGTTAAAACCAATAGCATACGTATAAGTGCTTATAGGTATGTGGAATGAAGCGCCTCTCTGTTTATTTTTCCAATTATTGTTTTATATAAAACCAAACGAAATTAGCAAAAATTAAAAAAGAAACAAAATTTTAATTTAACTTATATTCTTGGATTATCGTCTATAGATGTCGATAATGCGGAAGATTTTACATATCTGTTTTTATTTATTTTCAGACGAATACTGGGGAACTACTGAGTAATGTGGTTCGTATGTACCTTTCCGTAATGTATCAAAAATATAAAACATGTAACAAACTAAAACTAGTAACAACAAAAGCTAATAAAATTAAAAATTAATATCTATATCAAAACAAGGATGTTCTGGTACATTTAATAACAGATTTAAAACTGTTTCGAAGTTATTAAAGCAATATGAAATAAAACAAACAAAATACTTTCCGCAAACCTGCAAAAAGCAACACACTCTGATTTAATACATAATTTATTTACTAAAAGATATACTTAAACAAACTTAATTTATAGGCTCAATTTGAAATATATTAAACGAATGATAAATTTAAACTAAGCGTTGTTTGCTTTATATTAACAATATTAATATGTTTGATTTCGATAAATAATAATGTCTTCAAATAGCGCATTAAGTGTTATCAATATGCTCAATACAAAGAGCAAAGTGCATACTTGAAGAATGACCAAAGATTTAAATTGAGTAAAAATTAAGCTAATTAAAAACAGTTTCGATATAAGTAAATTATACATCAACGAATTAAATAGAAGCGATCACGAATTTCTGGTAAATGGATTAATCGTTATACGTATCAGAGTTTTTGGACGCCGCTGTCTTTTCAAATTCGTCAAAGTTTTATGTAAGTGTACATATTGTCAAAAACTTTTCATATTTGCGATATTTAACTGTTATTTCAACGTTAAGAAAAATTGGCACCGAATTGCTAAGTTAAAATTAAGTTCACACTAGAATTACATTGCACATTATTTTAAAACGGACATGTAAAATATGCAAACTCGAAAAATCAGAAAAGTGTTCTATTGTGCTACGAAGAAATTAAAATCAACAAAACCTATAACAAAAAAAATTGGAACAACAAACTTGTAAAATATCTTCCAGGCTATTGACAGTACGCTGTAGTTTACTGTGAAACCTCAAGAATCTATATGATCTAAAACACTTCCCGGTAACTTACGTCGGACCGCAAGGACATTAGATAAGGTATATCTACTTACGCTTCTAATTTTATTGAAACAATAAAATCTGTATTATATATTATATTAATTATTATATATTGGGTGTATGCATTAATTCGCGCGGTTTTCTAAGAGAGGGCTCTACTAGTATTATTTCGCGTCGTATTCATCTGTGGCTATATTCATTTCAAAGGTACTGCCATTTCGCGTCGTTTTCAGTAGATATAAATTGTTTGAGCGTGAACAACAATTTGTTTCATTCATTTGAAAATGTCGAAATTTGTACCAGATAAAGTGTTTTTGCGGGGAGTTCTTCTTCATTATTTTAACATGAAGAAAAGTGCTGCCGAAAGCCATCGTATTTTACTGGACGTTTATGGTGACCATGCTTTAGCCGAACGAACGTGCCAAAAGTGGTTTGCACGGTTTAAAAGTGGCAATTTCGACTAAGACGACGGAGAACGACCCGGACAGCCAAACAAACTTCAAGACGAAGAATTGGAGACATTGCTCGACGCAGATGCATGCCAGATGCAAGAAGAACTTGCCAAAATATTAGGAGTTGATCAAGCAACCGTTTCCAGACGATTAAAATCATTAGGATTCATCCAGAAGCTTGGAAATTAGGTGCCTTATGAATTAAAGCCAAGAGACGTCGAACGTCGATTCTGCATGTCGGAAATGTTGCTTCAACGCCACCAAAAGAAGTCGTTTTTGCATCGGATTGTCACTGGCGATGAAAAATGGATTCACTATGATAACCAAAAGCGCAAGAAATCGTATGTGAAGCCCGGCCAACCATCAACATCCACGGCAAAGCCGAATATCCATGCTGCTAAGGTTGTGCTATGTATTTGGTGAGACCACAAGGGTGTGCTCTATTATGAGCTATTGAAATCGGGTCAGACGATCAATGGGGACCTCTACCGAAAACAATTGATTCGTTTGAAAAACGCCATCGCGGAAAAACGACCAGAATATGCGACCAGACACGAATCAATAATTTTTCATCATGACAACGCTCGGCCACATATTGCAAGGCCAGTTAAAACCTATTTGGAAAACTGTGGGTGGGAAGTTCTACCTCACCCGCCTTATAGCCCAGACATAGCACCTTCCGATTACCACTTGTTCAGATCAATGCAGAATGCCCTCGCCGGAGTACGCTTCACTTCAGAACAGGGTATCAAAAATTGGCTCGATTCTTTCTTGACCTCCAAGCCGGAGAAGTTCTTTTGGAATTAATGCATACACCCAATATAATATAATATATACTACGGCAGTAGTTTATGCGGCAGAGACCTAAATTTATTTGAAGAGCATATTACAATACTTTTTTTTGTTTTGAACTTATTTACTATACATGATAACAAGAAACAACTTAAACTTCACTTCATTTTGGCCTTTACTAAAACAAAAGTTTCCATACATGGCCTTGATTTTCATCGATCATTTTGTATGGTAGCTAAAAGCTTTAGTAATCCGTTCTAAACAATTGAGATTGTACCGTTACTTTGGGCAAATTTATGTGAAGATATCTCCTCAAATGAAAAAGTTGCCCATACAAGCACTGATTCCCATCGTTCCGTTGGGTGGTCCTATATCGGTTGTTTCAACAAATAAGCTGCTTCTTGAGCAGAAAACAAGTGTGCAATACGTCAGGTCGCGTATGTACAGACAGTCAGACGGACATGACAAAATCGGCTCAGCTCGTCCCACTGATCATATATATAATATTATATTATATATGTTTTATAGGGGCTCCGACCCTACCCTGTTTAGGGAACCGAAATGCTCGATGAATCGAGCTACAATACAAGAGAATATATGTTATCATTCCCCCAATGTAGTAAATGATGCACAGCATGTGTGGTTTGAAACATATTTGAACCATACCACATTAAACTACTTTTACGTACATTTGGCAGCTCGACATATAAATATTCAAAGTTAATAAATCTTAACCTTGAACTAATTCGGCATTTGAACTTTAACAAGTTTTGCTGATGGTTGATTATTTTTGATCATTGAAGCGCACTAACACAACGTCATTTTATGGGGGTCGTTTGATTGCAGTCATGCCCATCACTGGTCATAAAGAAAACCTTTACGAGGTTTGCGCTACCTCCGATATAATGTTCGACGGTCAATAACTGCTACATCTCACTGGTATAACCGCAAATGGAATTGAGGGTTATACACCGCGTTGTCAAAAATTTTCTACAACGAGTGCGGTTGTATTTTTTGAAATTATAAGCAAAACATACATATTAGAACTGCAAGAGTGCCTAATTTTCGCACTCAAAGTATACTTGGACGGATTTTACATTGGGACTCTTTTGACCCTCATTTTTTTCAAATTCTCTTTTGGTGTCGCTCTGTGCATTCACACGGGCAAAAAGAGTCCAGCAACTCGAGTCTAGTTTTTCTGCATTCCTTTTCGCAAAATTTTCGTAAATATAATATTTGTGCGGTTCGACTGCGCAACACTTAGAGCGTGTTGCATTTCATTTGTATGTTGAGATGTTGGTCAAACATTTTGCTTGCAATGAATTACCATGAATATGGTAGAACAATATGCATAATACCTACTCGTACCCGCTTAATAGTTTCAAAGAAATACTTAAGACGGGAATTCCCTAATCCACCAGAATGTATTGAATATCCGCTACTAATATTTTCAAGGCCAAATTTATAACAGGAATTTCCTAATCTTTAATTATTAAAATTTCATAATTTCTTAACTCCATAATCTATATCTTAATTTTCTCCTTATTTACAATTTTTCAAAATATTTCTATTATTCTATGCATACATACAAGTATTTGCATATTACATACAAAAAATAGATAACAGAATTCAAATTTGTGAACGAATTCATTTGAAACCGAGCGCTCTTGCAACCATTCAAAGAATTTGAAAGTGAAAAGGAATGCTGAAAAGGGTAGCAGCGAGCTATTACGAACAAGAACACAAAGCGTGACACCCGAACACGAGTGGCACGGTCCCTTCGTTTTTCCTCGTCGTCCCCTCACCCCGTCCCCTAAACCGGCTTGGGTTACAAAAGAGTCTGTGCTCACAGAAATATTAGGTCAAGTAAAAAGTTCGGTGTTCATCTAAGAGATGGCGTTATTGTCCACGTGTTTATTCGCGCTAAAAGCCTGTCTTTGACAGTTTTTCGATTAATTTACTCAGTTCGTTGTGAGCGCTCGTCAAAGATGGACACCAGCAAAGAGAAAATTCGCTATATTTTACAAATTTTCTTCGATCAAGGCGAAAAAGCAGCCAAAGTGGCTGAAAAAATTTATTTAGTTTATGGGCCCGATACTGTAAACAAACGTGTAGCACAAAAGTGGTTTGCTAGGTTCCGTTCCGGTAATTTCGATGTCAAAGATGCACCACGTGTTGGGAGGCCTGTCGTCGAAAATTGCGATAAAATCATGGAAATAGTGGAAACAGACCACCACGTGAGCACTTATTTAATTGCTGAGGAACTAAAGATAAGCCAAAAAACCGTTTGGAACCATTTGCATAACCTTGGATTCAAAAAGGAGCTCGATGTTTGGGTGTCACACGAACTAACGCAAAAAACATGATGGACCGAATTTCCATCTGCAAATCGCTGCAGAATCGCAACAAAATCGACCCGTTTCTGAAGCGGATTGTGACTGGGGATGAAAAATGGGTCACTTATGACAACAACGCAAACGGTCGTGGTCAAAGCTCGGGGAAGCGGCCCAGATGGTGGCCAAGACCTGATTGACGGCCAGGAAGGTTTTGCTGTGTGTTTGGTGGGATGGGCAAGGAATCATCTACTGCGAGCTGCTCCCCTATGGCCAAACGCTCAATTCGGCCCTCTACTGCCAACAACTGGACCGCTTGAAGGCAGCACTCATCCAAAAGAGGCCATCTTTGATCAACAACACAACGAATTGTGTTCCATCAGGACAACGCCAGGCCACACACGTTTTTGGTGACTCGCCAGAAGCTCCTGGAGCTCGGATGGGAGGTTCTAATGCACCTACCTTATCGTCCCGACCTGGCACCAAGTGACTACCATCTTTTCTTGTCCATGGTGAACGCGCTTAATGGTGAGAAGTTGGCCTCAAGAGAGGCCTGCGAAAATTGGCTCTCCGAATTTTTTGGCAATAGGGACGCAGTCTTCTACGAGAGGGGTATAATGAAGTTGGCATCTCGTTGGCAACAAGTTTACGAACAAAACGGCGCATATTTGACTTAAATCGGAAAAATGTACACAAAGCTATCATCTTTTGAAAAATCAATAAAAAACCGAACGAACTTTTTACTTTGCCTATTGTAATATGAGCGAGAAAGGAAACTTGGCACTTCGCTTATTTGCAGTCTTCTTTTTTATTTGCATAGACTTGTGGCGGTCTTGCTTATCAAAAAATGTATAAGTAAATCAAAAACTCATGACAAGCAGAGACAAGTACAACAAATTCACATCAATAGTCGGTGTACCTACTTACATACATACTACGTATTTAATCTCTATTTATGTTGTATTTTTTTTTCTTGTGCTTTAGAGTTTGGAGCGTTGTTGATTGAGAACTTTTAACATATTTGTTGTTAATGTATGCTGAACGAATTTTTAAATTGTTTTTTTCGTTTTAGAGTATCCTTAAAACTTTAATATTTTTAAAATTTAATTTTTGAATAAAACCATTTACACATATATTTATACTTATAGACGAGTATAAGTCTAACTTTAGAGAAAAAATTCAGGTTTAAATAAACAAAGACATACATATTACTATGTAAGAAAAAGTTTTGTATTATTACTAAGTTTAATATTTAATAAATACATCTTTTTATACATACATATATACATACTAGAGAACTAAAACGGTGAACACCAACAAAAAGTACACCTCATGCTTACTTGTGTATTTTTCTTACATATGGATACAAAACGATTAGACAAAGAAGAACAAAGTTGTAAATGCGCCCAATACTCTCAGTGCACACTACAATCGGACTATGTCATTTACTCAGAAAAGCTTTTTGTGCTGTTGCTCAGCATAAGTGAAAGCGTGAGCAAGTAGAAGTGTGTTAAATATAAACAAATATACATTGAGCTAAGTAATACTGCGTTAACATGGAGACTCTTTTGTCGCTCATTATCGGCAAATTCTCTTTTGATGTCGCTCTGACCGTTCACACGAACACCAAGATTCCAGCAACTCGAGTCGAGTTAATCTGTCCTTGATTTTCAGACAATTTTCGTAAATGTTTGTGCGGTTCGGCTACGCGACACTCAGAGCGTGTTGCATAGTTCATTTGTATGTTGGGATGGTAGTCTCACATTTTGCTTGCAAGGAATTACCATGAATGTGGTAATACCCGCTTAATTTCCTAATCTACCAGAATGTATCGAATACCCTCTACTAATATTTTCAAGGCCAAATTTGTATCACCAATTTCCTAATATTTCGGGTAGTATTTAAAATCCACAATTTTTTTACTCAATATTTTTTCTATTTATTATGAAACATTCATGAGTTAATTACAATACTTGTTTTAAATAAAATGATATTTGAACCAAATCCTTTGCGGTTAAAAAACATAAATATGAAAGCATCTTAATATTACATATAAATATAAAAAAGTAAAGTTACAATTTTTAATAAAATTCATTTACCGCTAATATATACGCTGAAAAGGAATGCTGAGAAGGGTAGCAGCGAGCTGTTACGAGCAAGTGCCACGCGAGTACGAGTAGAATGGTCCCTTCGTCTTTCCTCGTCGTCTCCTCGCCTACAATAAACCGGTTTGCGTTACAAAAAAGTCTGTGTGTGAACTGGCACTAAGCAGGCGGTGTACTCTTTGTTGCAGTGCGCCGCTGCAGGTTTCTGATACATATGTATATTGATCAAGTATGCGGCTGCGTGTATTGAAAACTATAAGCGTAACATACATTTATTGTTTTTCAAAAACTAAGTTGTATACAAAAGGGGTTAACGTTTTAGTTTTTTTAAACTTTATTTATTTATTCTTAAGTCGTACTCAAAACGTTGGCTCTTTCCATGAATAATGGAGTAAGAGCCTTATAATTAGTTTTAAATATAAAGAAGCTCCACCGTTATCATCGAATGAAAGAACACATATTTCGCATCTAAAACTAATCGTGATAGATATAGAGTTATATATATTTAGAGGATCAGGAGACGAATTGAAATCTAGGAGATTGTCTGTCCGTCCGTTCATTAGTTTGTGCAAGCTTCAACTTTAGTAAAATTTAAGATATCATCATGAAACTTTGTACTCGTGTTCCTAGGTCAAATCGGGAAGAGGCCATTGTCACGCTTACAAAATGGCTAAGCTCCAAATTAAGCTATAAAACTGGAATTTGGTAAAGCGGACTGCGGTAATGAGGGGCATACTCATGAGCTGAAAATTATTAAAAAGTGGGTGAGTGGGTGTAGCTCCTCCCCCTAATAGGTGTAATGTATATAACATTAAAACCTCTAAAGCTATAACAACTAAATTAAAGGATGATTGGTTTTGGCACCTCCCCAAACACTGTGAAAATGGGTGAAATAGAATAGTAACCCTGCTCACTCCCCATATAACGGTTATGTTGAAAACTACAAAATGCGCGATAACTCGTTAAGTAAATACGTTAGAAGCATTAAATTTCACAAATAGGATGGATTGAACAATGAGCACGGCCTCACCGACCTTAAGGAGCAACTCCATATCTCAGGATCTACTCGCCCAATTTCAAGCGAATTCGGTTCATAACATTCTCCTGACATTTCTATATAACGATGTTCAAACGAACGATATTGGACAAAAATCACACTTACTTCCCACAATTATAAATTCCATCTGATTCATTCCAGTACACAAAACAAGCCACAATGAATATATCAAGGCAAGGCCTTACACGTATAGTGCCTTTAAAGTTTGCCTTCTCTTTAGTAAAAATTGTCAAAATCGGGTTATAACTCTCCAAGCCTCCCAGACACTAAATATGTTGACCTGAGTGCTAACAGCTGACTTTTTACCGAAAATAGTGGTCGTTCTCAAAGACATTATAGAACAATGGAACTTAGAGAATGTATTTTTCGGGCAATATTTGGTTCTGGTGCTAAAAGTGGGTAAAATCAAGCAACTGCTTCCAGTTGACTTTATGAGTGAGTTATCTTAATGAACATCAGACCGAATCTGTTTCAATTAACAGTTTGTCTTTAAGTCTAATATAGATAAAATCGGGTAAAAATTTTCCTCAGTTCCCACATACATAATACAAGAATTTTAAACTTTCGGTTGGCTGTATACCTTAGATATTGGTCAATATGTAAGGTATCTTAATCTCAGTCCCCGTTTTGTGTGTGTCAGACGAGAAGATTCATCACTACATTTACCAGATATACGCTTACCAAACAGACTAGTATTGCTTTAGGGCTTCTCCGCACCCTGTGAGTTTTCCATCACTCAACAGCGAACCCGGCCCACATTTTCCCATGTAAGGAAAGTTATTTTACAAAAAATACTTCTTTTTATTTTTCATTAAAAAAAAAAAACTATCAGTAATTAAATATGTTATTCTTTTACCTACCTTTCTTTTATAGGAATATGGCAAACATAATATTGATTGCTTGCCTTGCAGTATTGGGCATCATAATAGCTATCGCGTTGTTCCTTGCTGGAGGCTATCTTTGGTGGCGCCACAAACGTTCGCAGTTGCAGTTCATCGAACCCAATGAGGATGAGGATTCTAGTAGTTACAGCTTAAGGTAAGTGTATGAAAGTAAAAGGCACAATCTAGTTTTTATTTTTAATTTGAAGCGAAAAAGCTTAGCACCAATAACGCTGTTGAAAACCAAAAAGAAAGCTTCGGAGACCGTAGGTTATGTTAGATAAATAGGCTGATGTATCGTGAGGCCACGAATAATTCCATTTGGACAGCTATAGATGCTTGTCCGTTGTAATGCCCAGAACTCTTAGGCATGGATCAAAAATACCGCTGTATATCGACAAAACACCTAGAGCCTGTCACAAATTTATTGAGGTTGCTTATATCAATTCCAGTCAATTCGCTGGGTTCGTAAAAAGTATGGCAACCGATACGGTTCAATCTTAGTCTGGCGAAAGCTGGACAGTGGAGGGGAAGGTGAATAGATGTTTCCATCTCATCTTCCTCATTGCAACTTTAACAAGTTGCGTCCTCCAAAATCTTTAGCCACACCGCGTGAATTCCAAGGGGACAGTGTCCAGTTAGGACGCCTATCATTGCGGCGATGCGAGTCTTGCTAATAAGCAGTTCAAGAGACCCTTTACGTTCCACTCTGCGCCAGTAGGCTTTCGCATCCCCACAAGTACTAGTTGCTGACCAGCGCTTGCTGAGCTTGGGTGGAGCCACGAGATCCAGCGCCCGAACGCACAAAAAAAGAAAACCTGTCTAGGAGTATGGGTGCCATTTCTTGCAAGCTAATCGGCTTTACAATATCCGACGATTCCGCTGTGGTCAGGCGCCCAGGCGAATTTAATATGGAAGTAGCTTGATGCTTTTGATGTCCTTTTCTGCCCAAAAAGCTGATTGTTTGTTGAAAACGGCATACGACACCGATGCGCTACTTTGAACAATTATACACTTACTCGATACATTTACTTGTGTAAAATTTATTTAAAAAAAAATTAAGTCAAATAAAGTGTATACGTCTAAAGCGCTGTCATTTTTCTTTGTGAAAGTTCAATAGGGGAATATAGTTGGCACCCCAATTATTCAGCGATACCATACAAACTAAACGATGTTAATCAAGTTCTTGTCTGAAAAACTTTTCAATTTAACCAGATATCTTTATGAAATTTGCACAGATTATTACTCAAGGCATCGTTACAATCTTTAAAGAAATTGTTTATATCGGACAGCTGTAGAAAACTTTTTATTTTACCATATACCTTCACGAAATTTGGCATTGCTTATTTCATAAGGCATCGCTACAATATAACTTCCATACAAACTCATCGACCAAAATCAAGTTGTTGCATTTATCTGTGAAATACTTTTCACTTTGGTCTTGTTTGCACCGTTTTTTTTATTTTTTTTATGGAAAAGTGAAGTTTGTAACACCCAGAAGGAAACGTCGGAGACCCTAAAAAAAATATATATAAATGATCAGCGTGATGAAGTAAGTCGATTTAGCCATGACCGTCACATATGCACATATAACGTATACGAGTACATCGGTAAACATCTTATGCCAAAAACAGAAAAATAGTATATATTGTAGTATGCTACAGAAACCATACGTGTGTCAACCGTATTTTCAATTTTTGTTCCAAACCAGATGGCTTTCTGTACTACAATAGTGTTCAAAAAACCAAGCTTTAATCTCTTCTGCCAAAATATTATGTTTTCTGTCAGTTAAATTGAAATTCTAAATAAGCAAAAAAATTAAAAATCAAAAAATGGAAAAAATGTGGTTGCAAAGCCCTTTTCTGTAAATCAATGTTGTTGTAGCGGCGGAAAACATACACAATATTCTAGAGTATAGTTGTTTTTTAACGTAACCGTGATAATGCGATTTAATAGGTAAATAATAAATAAATTCTAATGTGTGTCAAATCTCATAAAAAAGCATATATTCCGGATAAAAAAATCGGTTAAGTATTCCTTTAGATTAGGTTAGGTTATACTGGAATCTTATCTGAAGTATTCGTCATACTTGAAGTTAACGGGATTTGCGTTGATATTTTATTTTTATACTTCATTTAGTCCATTGACCTGCAAAGGCCCAAAATATCTAAGACGAGTTCTAGATAAGGCTGAACAGAAGCATAGATGTGATCCAGGCCAACCGGATCGGATGTGATGCTAGTAAGTTGTGACCTGTCATAAGGCCAACAACCGCCGTCAAGACCGTATGAATAAAAAGCATGCGTCTTCTTCTCCGGGGCTCTTGCATTTGATCTAGACGGATGGCGTTTTTGGCGATCTCATTAGTTATTTCTTTTCCCGGAATTCCTTTGAGGTCTGGAACCTAGTATATATGCAGTCGCTTTCCCGCAGCAACTATATCTACTGCCTTCCTGAACCTAACGATATTCTCTGAAGTAAAACGATGTGAGGTTTTTCCTCTAGCTCCCATATAATATAATATTTTTTGAACTGACTTTTTGACTTTTTTCCATATGTACGAAGTGTGTTCAAAAGAAAAGGTGAATTTTGAATTTTTTTGAAAAGTACTTATTTATTCATCAATATCTATTTTGTCCCCTTCAAAGTAATCCCCTCGGATATAATACTCTTGTGTCAACGCTTTTTCTAATCCTCGTCGCTCTTCTGAAATGTACTTTTGGTATGGCTCTTTTTTCGATTTGGACTTGATCTCATCAATTGTGGCAAAACGCTTTCCTTTCATTGGTTTCTTCAGTTTTGGGAATGGGAAAAAGTCTGAGGAAGCCAAATTTGGTGATTACGGTAGTTGCGGCATGATTACGGTTTTGTATTTGGCCAAAAAATCTGCAATAAGCAACACTGTTTTTCTCAAAATTTAGCAATTTCGGAACAAACTTCACTGCCACACGTTTCATGGCCAAAACATTCGAGAAAATTAGTTGGCATGAGCCGATTGATATACCAACATCCTCTGCAATTTCTCCAATATGATTCGAGGATTTTCAAGACAATTTTTTTCACTGTTTCGATGTTTTCTTCGCTTTTTGACGTGGTCGCATTTCCAGGATGCTCATCGTCATCAACATCTTCTCGGTCTTCTGTAAAGCGTTTGTACAACTTATAAACACAGAATGTTGCATTCGAACTGTATTAAACTTTACTCTAAGAGGTTTGTAACTTAAGAGTTCACTTTTGGATCTCTTTGAACTCAATGAAGAATCTTTAAATTCTTACCGCTAGTGGGGGAAAAACAAAGATCTTCATTGAGTGAGAATTTATTTCATTCTAATTTTATTATTGTGTGTCTTCTCTTTATATACAATTTTAATTCTATCTTAAGTAACTATTGGGTTGGCAACTAAGTAATAGCGGATTTTTTTTTAAATCAAAGACAATTTTTTAATGGAACTAAATAACTTTATTCTGTAATGTATTGCCCATTTTGATCAATGACCTTTTTTCATCTTTCAGGCAGCCTCATAATCCCACGTTCATAAAACTTCTGGTTTTTATTAGCAAAAAAACTGAATCAGGTACGATTTGACATCATCATCATTATTGAAATTTTTACCATTCAAGGAGTTTTGTAAAGATCGAAACAAAAAGTAATCCGATGGTGCAAGGTCAGGACTATATGGTGGATGTGGAAAAACATCCCAACCAAGCTCCAATAATTTTTGCCGAGTGACCAAAGCTGTGTGTGGCCTTGCATTGTCATGATGGAATACAACACCTTTTCGATTTATCAATTCTTGCCGCTTTTTTTCAACTGCATTTTTTAATTTCGTTAGTTGTTCAATGTAGACAACAGAATTGATCGTTCGGTTGGGTGGTAAGAGTTCAAAGTAGACAATTCCTTTATAATCCCACCAAACTGATAACAAAACCTTCTTTTGATGAAAACCAGCTTTTGATGTTGTTTGAGCTGGTTCACCTGGCCTGCTCCACGATCTTTTCCGCTCGATATTGTTATAAACAACCCATTTTTCATCGCCAGTTATCATTCGTTTTAAAAATGGATAATATTCATTAAGTTTCTTTAGCAAATCGCATCTGTTAATGCGTTGCGTTAAATGCGTTTCTTTCAGTTCGTGAGGAACCCATGTATCGAGTTTTTGAACATAGCCAAGCTGTTTTAAGTGATTTCTAATGCATGTATGTGATACCTGAAGCTTCTCTGCAATCTCACGTGTTGTACTGTGACGATCCGAATTGATTATTGCTTTGATTAGGTCGTCATCAACTTCAACTGGACGACCAGAGCGTTTTTCATCTTTGAGTGAAAAATCACCAGAACGAAATTTGGCAAACCAATTTTGACACTGCCGTACTGTTATGGTTTCGCCACCATAAGCAGCACATAACTTGTATGAGCTTGCGATGCGTTTTTCCCTTTGCGAAAATAATAAAACAAAATATGACGAAAATGTTCCTTTTGATCTTCCATTTTTCAACGAACGCCAAACGAAAACTACGCAACCGATCAAAAAACCTTTTGTTACTGATTGACAGCTGAATTGCCAACTATCAAATAACAAAATGTCTTTTACATTTGGACTACGCGAGCAAAGCTAAAAATTCAACTGAAGCCATCTATTAATGTATATGATTATGTGTATGTTAGTATATATTGTCACACGACATGGGGTTGTTTTAATTGTGCGTGTATTCGTGTATTTTTTTTTGTGGGGAGGGGGAATCTTCAGAAGATACCGTCATTTTTCCGGACGATATGATGTACGTTTCGTACTGGCCGCTAAGGACCAATACGCCTACGTACTAAACCCTTAACTTCATCGTCATTGCTTGATATATTTGCTCCCACGGAACCGCCGTTAAGCATTAAATCGTGGGGTCAACCTTAGCCATTCGGCTCGGCAGTCACGCCTTTCTGCTCTACTCCTCATTCATTCTTCTGCGTTCGTTGCGTTGCCTCTTGCAGAGCTATAGCACACCACTCTCTCGCTCTATCCCACACTAGTTCCGACTCTGTCATAAGCCGCACTATGTTATCAGGTGTCACTCGTTCCATTGTCAGATTCTCTAGGTCGACTCTCTCGATTGCATACCGCTGGCAGGAGAAGAAGATGTGCAGCGCGTTTTCTACGCTGTTGC